AGTATGGTGACCCATACTCGGAATTAGTGCTCTGCATTTATCCCATCCAAAGTGCACACACACAGCAGTGAACACACACACACACCGTGAACACACACCCGGAGCAGTGGGCAGCCATTTTTTGCTGCGGCGCCCAGGGAGCAGTTGGGCTCAAGGGCACCTCAGTCGTGGTATTGAAGGTGGAAGAGAGCGCTGTACATTCACTCCCCCCACCTACAATCCCTGCCGGTACGAGACTCGAATCCACAACCTTGGGTTACGAGTCCGACTCTCTAACCATTAGGCCACACATATTTAAGAGTTTTTAAGCGAGCTGCACTGACCTCAGTCCACAGTGAGCTGATTTGAGCGATCGCTTTCCAAGAACGACACACCTGAGCACATTTCAGGAGCTCACGCACACCTAAACGTTGGAAGATCTGCAGCAAATTGTTTATTAAAATCAGCTGACTTGTGTAATTGCCAGTTATTTAATGGCAACATCACAGAGGTTAAGTGATACCTTAAGAGACAGCTTGTTAGGCAGCAGTGATAGTCTGTCCTGGCCTTCGCCTTGTGGTATCTCTGAGTTCTGACTTTCTTGTATATCTCTCTCTAGCCTCTGAGCAGACATAAATCATAAAACTTCTCATCAGTTCAGTGCATTTGTGTTTGACTGTTTTGAAAAACTACCTTAAAGTATTATTAATGATAGAAATGTAATTTGTTCGAAAACACAAAATCGTTAATGAACGCTCAACGCAGCAAGCAACAGTTAACTCCGCGAAATGTTTTGGTCGTCCACTGATGCAATAGGAGGAAACAGTCAGTGACGGTTATGATAATCAAGAACTGTTTGTATCTGTATTTATCCTGCCGGACACGGACCATGTGTTAACATGTATCTATGAAATCTGCGCCTATCGCAGAATGGGAGATGACAATGTCGTAGCCCGCCTCGGCAGCATGAAGGCTCTGTTGGGGATTGTAGCAGGAGCCGGAGCCTCATATGGCATTTATAAACTAGTCTTTGGTCGCGCAGGAGATGCAGGAGTAAACAGAAAAAAGTCTGCTAAAAGTGTGACTATTCAGCCTGGAAGCTTGATGGCCAAAGTGTCTGGATTTAAAGTTGTCAGTAAGAGTGATAATCTGGATCCTACTGCGGATACTGAATCTAGTAAGTGACATTCAAATGGTTGGATGTGTTATATAAAGTCTTGCTTACTGACAGCTCTGTATACGTTTGAAGGGGTTGGTTTTCAATCATACATTACAGTGAGTAAATATAGGCAGTGTGTCAACTTCATTTTATTGTCCTAGGTTCTTGATTTAGAAACGGAAGTAGATGTCTCCTTCATACAAACCTTTCTTTGTGTTTTTGTCTTCTCATAAGGTGTTATTTTCTCAAAATCTGCTGCCAGCCTGGAGCCTCGACATCTAAGTATGCTTCTCTCCCTTCTGCAGAGCAGCCCAAACCCAGAAGAGAGGAAGAAAGTTCTCGTAACTTTAGGACATGCTGCTGCCTTCACAGTAAACCAGGTCATCTGATGTTCTGTCTTCTAGACATTTATGTATTAGACATACTTTTTGGACTTGCAGAAGAGTAAACAGATGCAGATGATGCATCATATTTCAAAACAGTTTTTGCTTTTCTTCATTAGGATCTTCTGCGAGAATTTGGAGGTCTTCACATCATAGCAGGCTTCCTCTCAGACCCTTCACCTGAGATTCGCACTCAGACTCTAAACGCTCTGAACAACTTAAGCATGAATATCCGCAATCAAGAGCAGCTGAAGGTATTGCGTTATTTATTAAGATGGAAAAAATTAAACGTAAAAACTTTGAATGAAAATGAGAAATGCTGCCTTGGCGATTAACTGTAATCAATGAGTATAAGTTAAATTACTAAAATTACTAAAGCTGAAATTAAAATGAAACTATAGAAATAAAACAAAAATGACAAAAGCACATAACAAAGTAACCGAAACAAACTAAAATAAAAATGTAAAATATAAAAAAGCTAATTCAAAATATGAATAAATACTATAATAATATATAAATAATACTAAAAGAACACCATTTTGAATATGTTTTTCTTTCGCTCTCCCATGAATGCTATGCTTACACTGTGGTTTCTGTTGTTGGTGGTCAGATATATGTCCCGTCGGTGATGCAGATGATTGAGATGTCACCGGTGAACTCTGACCTTCAGCTGGCAGCGCTCAGATTGCTCACTAATCTGTCAGTCACGGATAATCACCAGCATCTGATGAAGAATTCCATCACCCTCCTCCTATCACTACTCGTAGTGAGCAATGAAGTCCTACAGGTGATTTTTGAGTAATGTATTGAATGATATGTTTACACAATCAGATGTATTGAAGATTTAATCTGTTCCTGCAGATCCAAGTCCTGAAGGTCCTAGTAAATATTTCCTCCAATCCAGATCTGATGGACGATATTGTGCAAGCTCAGGTGAACAAGCATGTCTTTTATGGGTTCTGCTGTAATGGTTTCACTGTTTTGTAAGTGAGATCCAGTGCAGTTGGTTTCAGTGACTATTCTGTCATACCAACACAATATGATTATAAATAGATCAATCTATAAATAATCGCCTTGGTTGCTAGGTGTCCTAGTTTTTCTCATTGCCTGCTGTTGATGCTTATGTCTATTTTTAGGCCACTCTGTGGTCATCATGATTTAGTTTAGTGCTGCACGATTTGAGGAAAGAATATTATTGTGATTTTTCTTCAGATAAAAATTGCAGTTGCAGTTGAATTTGTATATCAACATGAAAATTAAATAAATTCACATTATGATGATCAATATTATTATTATATTCTCCTAAATACTAATTTGCTTTATTTCACAGTAAAATATTGTAATAGTAATGTTTCTTATTTTGTCTATTATTTTATTTAATAAAGTAATATTTATTATTAGTAATATTTATTTTGTGTCTTATTTTATTTAATAATAATTATATGTCAACATGAAAATAAAGTAAAATAAAATAATTTATTATTATTATTGCTATTATTATTATTGTTATTATTAATTCATCATTAATTATTATAAATGTTATTTTAAGATTTTAATTAAGTCATATATTGTATTATTATTGTAATAATAATAATATATTGTAATATTTCACTGTGAAATAAAAATTAGTGTTTAGGAAAAAATTATTATTTTGTTTTATTCTGATACACAATTTTTATATGCTGATATAAAATGTTTTGGCAAAGTTGTGAAGCCTTACAAATTATGGCCATCTTAATTTTATTTATTTTGGTGGTAAACTGCAGCTAGCGCTCTCAAAAACTGATTGATATATATATATTATATTTATATTATATTTATTTATTTATTTATTTTTTTCATTTATTTATTTTTATGTTTTTACACAGTTTTTCTCTGAACCTTCCCTTTGGTATTTTTCTGGCTTCATCTGCCATTTTAAATCTTTTTTTTTTCCACTGAGCGTGTTGCAGTGCATTCTGGGATTGGCTCCTCCATGAAGCACATGTGATGCTTTATGATTTATATTTCGAGTTTCGGAACAGAGCTCATCTACTCTGATAATCGTCTGTGATTAAACTAAAGAAATGAACCAGTGTGGGAGGTCGAGAGCTGCCGACAGCTGAGAGAGACACAGGAAGTGAGCCGCAGGAACAGGAAGTACCTTCATGGGCGTGATGTAGGAGGGGTCCACCATGGGCTTGGGCCGGTTGGCCGTGTCGGCTAGCAGACTCTGCCATTGCTGCGGCAGCCCAGTGAACTTCTGCTCGTGCGGGTCGAAGCCGGTGTGGACGCGGTGCTCGAAGTTAGACGGAGCCGAGATCTCTAGCCGCTTCTTCTTCTTTCCAAACATGCTGGAGAAGCTGGAAAAACCTGCAGCGGCACAGAGAGAGAACAACGATTAGACTCGCAGAGATTCCCAAACACAAGACAACTGATCATAATTACATGAAAGTAATCCACGGCCCTAAACAGCAGGTTTCATTTTCTTTTGGAAAAATATCTACTTTATGTTCTTCATGTTCCAGCAGCACTGTCTATGTGTGTGTGTGTGTGTGTGTGTGTGAGTGTCTGTGTGTGTGTGTGTGAGTGTCTGTGTGTGCGTGTGTGTGTGTGTGTGAGTGTCTGTGTGTGTGAGAGAGTGTGTGTGTGTGTGTCTGTGTGTGAGAGAGTGTGTCTGTGTGTATGTGTGAGAGTGCACGTGCGTGTGTGAGAGTGCACGTGCGTGTGTGAGAGTGCACGTGCGTGTGTGAGAGTGTGTGTGAGTGCGCGTGCGTGTTGTGTGAGTGTGTGTATCTGTTAGTGTGTGTTTGTGTGAGTGTGTGTGTGTGCGTGTGAATGTGTGTGAGTGTGTGTATCTGTGAGTATGTGTTTGTGTGAGTGTGTGCGTGTGAATGTGTGTGCGTGTGTGTATGTGTGTGTGTATGTGTGTGTGTGTGTATGTGTGTGCGTGCGTGTACGTGTGTGTGTGTGTGCGTGTGTATGTGTATGTGTATGTGTGTGTGTGTGTGTGTGTGTACCTGT